TGACTTGAATTACCTCCTTTACCTATATCCGAATGTGCCTAAGGATCAAGCCTTTGGAAAGTACTACACACCCCTTGGAGAGCAACAGCCCACTACTAATAATGGTTATGTAAAGCCACAACTAAAGACCCATGTACCAGGGTAAGCTTTGGTAGAAGAAAGAAACTGCTGTGATGCTTTTTGCCTTATTATCCCTGTCCTTCTCCTGTGATATTTGTTTTTGGTTTGTTAGTTTTTTTTGGGTGGTTGGGGGATATTTAGGCTTATATTTATACCAGGCTTGTTGGGTAGTGTTCAACTTATTTAGTTTATTCTCGTCTTTTTTGGGGGGATGAAGAAGTTTGAATTTATCGTTGGTTTTGTATATTGAGTTTTCTGTTGTATCAGAAATGTATATAAATAGATCAGCACCTTTTATTTGGTCTAAGGTAGTTGATGTTTTTGCTAATATTAAAAGGCTGTTTGGTAGGATTACAGGAAAGTGGTAATTGATGGAATTTTTCACTTTTGTAGACACTGATAGAAAGTGGTTTTGTTACTAGCTGTAAGTTTCCTTTCAAAATTTGATGATTGATTTTAATACATTGTAACTGGTGGCATGTATATTCTGGTTATTAATGAAGTTTGTGCTCCAATGAGTGCATTTTATTTGAAATTTGCTATTTGTCAAGTTCTTATTTTTATTTCAATTCAAATTCAAATTCAAATACTTTATTCCATTAATTACACTAGGTATTCTCTTTACATATAAAGTGTTTACACAATGCAATAGGGTGCTATGAACATAGATATTATACAATGCTTGTGGAACAAAATTACACTTAACAGTAATACCATATGTGATTGAAATTTCGTGCTGGGCTTGATGTTTATGCGCCCGATGTCATTAATATTTCAGTAGATGTTCTTTCACTTTTGTTTTAAATGTCTTTTGGTTGGAAATATTTCTTGCATTTTCGGGTAATTGGTTCTAAGTCACCAGTTCTCGGATTAGCATATTTCTTGCCCCAGTTTCTGTATTTGATCTCTTGATATATAGGCAGTTGTTTTGCCTTGTTTGGACACCCGTTGTGTTACCTGTTGTCCGTATAGGTAATAGCCAATGTGGGTAAATTCCCTGTATAATTTTATGGATTAGAATGCATGTGTCATAGTTGTATTTCTGTTGCACTTTTAGCCATTATTTCTAGTTCTTATTTTGTAAGATGTCAGGTGCTGCTATTAGAACCAGTTCTTATGTTGACATCTAGCCTCAGAAGTATAGGGGAAGAAATATGACAGGGTGTATGGTTTTTAGATTTACCAATTTTTTCTTCTTCTTATGTTATTATTATTATTCCAGGTAATTTGTTTCGTAAAAAGCTTAATATCCGATGCATTTCTAGATTCTTTTAGAAATTTTTATTGAAATAGCGAAGGAGGCTCAGAGGTCGGTAGTTTGAAAATCCATAGATGAGAGTTCAGTCTTTTCATGATTTACAAGTATATTTTGGTTTTAATCATGTACAGTTAGCAATTACTTCCTACAATGAAATAATGTTATTATTTAGTTGATGCTGGTCAAATCTAAAGTTATAAAAGCCATGGCAGTTGTACTACCACTTGTTCATTTATTGAAATGTCCGTGCAGTGAAAGTCTAAGGGAAAAAATCTATATATCTTCACACACGGTCAAGATATAGCTAATGAAAACCTTTAGAGTTTTTCATGAAAATTACAGTAAGGCTGAAAGGTTAATCTTTGTATTTGTTACTAGGGAATACTATATCTGAATATGCATTCACCAATTACAGTCCAACAAATTAAACCTTTTCACAATATGACAATGGTCAAATTCCCAACAATATAGGTTTTAACCCATTAAACTGGTATATTCTGAATCCGAAAATAAAAGATTCTGGACAGCTACAAAATAAGCGTGCAGGGCTGGCCTGGACTCTGCCCGCGCACTGTCGGGGCCCGCTGCTGCGTCGGTGCACGAGCCCCAATACAGTGTCTCATATGTAGGACACCCGTTGTTAGTGGGTCAAAGATAGTATCATGCACTTACTAGGGAAATATATTTTTTTAGCATGGGTACATGATCAGTACTCACTTAGAATACAATATATCTAGGTATGTAAGTATAGAAGGCCAAAGAGAATGTAAATCCATTTGACGCAATAGGCTCCATATTTTGTTGGTTACACTCTTCAACTATAAACCCACATTTCTCCAGTATTGGTTATAGTTCAAACTTGTTTAATTTTTTTGCATAGGTGTGAATAGGAGATAATTTTGCAGTTCAGTGGATTTTGTATGCAACGTTTTGCAGTTATGTTTTACTTTGTGGTAAGAGTAGTAGCTTGATATGTTAACTATATTTTGGAGGGCTTTATGTAATTTACTATTTTTTCCTCTTCACAAACAAGTAATCCAGTAATTTGATTTTTGTTGTTGTAACAAATAAAGCCTTTCATTTTATGACAAGATGTTGTAAATTTACTTATACTAATTGCAATGATACAGTGACAATGGCAAACCCATAGGCATCATGACAGCATTTGCCTTTGCCAGACCCTGTTTGTGTGCAAGATCTGAGATCATCCAAAGTAATCACCTGCTCTAACCCCAATCATGGCAGAAAGTGCTGGATGATGATCTATCATGTCATACCCAAATTACCAGGATAATGTTTTCATATGATATGTGGTGTAGGTTGCTCAAATTTGTATAGACTAAACATTGTCCACTTACTTGAGAACCAGCTCCTCTAAAGTAGGCTGCAGCAAACTGCAGGGTAATTCTGTGTTTCCCATGCTCCTGATTTTTTTTCTTGAGCAGCTGATTGGCTGTGCACTATGATACCTTGTGCTGTGTGGCACTAGGAGCTCCCAACAAGATTGGGTTAAGTTGGTACACTGGCATGGAGGGATTGTTGGTCTAGGAATCCTTCTAGTTGAGCTTTTTGAAGTCTGTCTCATCCATTAAAGGTATTGGAATGGCAGGATCCTTTGGTTTCTTTATGAATCAGGATCTCCCCTTTTTGGATCTCATTGTTTACAGGTTTGAATAAGAAGGGATTGATAGAAACAATGTTCAGAGTGATTGAGCTTTGTTACTGAGAAGTCTTAATGCCCTTTTTACTTTTGTCTCTTTATTCGTACTCACAGGTGATTTTAGTTCTGCCAAGCCTGCAAACAGTTAAGGTTTCATTAGTTATTTTTATGTGGTATATGTGCTGTTCATCGTGAGTTTTGTCGCACGGGTGGCATAACAAGTGCCACTTGGAGTTAGTCAGTAGTACTATGTGACCTCACAGTTTCTCTGTTTCTTGAAAATTTGGGATTTTTTATGATTTTAGTATTGATACTATTATTATTTGCATCATGATTATTTACTTATTATTGAAATACTGATAGAAAAGAATAACATTTTTAAAAATCAAGGAAAAGAGTTTACTGATGCCATGAATAGGACTAGTAAGTCCTTATAGAACCATCTATGTGTAAACGCAATCACAAATCTAAAATATCATGGAAATGGCATGTATGTCATACCGTGCCAGCACATTGTGTGGAAAGATAGTAATTGTAAGTTGCAATACATCATTTGTAGATAAGCATGCTTTGGCATAAAAAAGTAAGGTATTTAACATTTTCATATGTGTGGTAAGTTTATAGATTTTTATATCCAGGTTTACCACTTGGAATGTCTCGGCTAGGTCTTACTATGTGGTGACACCACCCCTCCCCCCCACACACACACATACGTGCTATAGGATTATAAATTATTATGCATTATACCTCTCCTCAAGAAAAGAAAAGAAAAGAAAAAAAAAAAAACATTTTGCTGATATAGAAATATTTTAGAATATACAAGTATATAGATATGAAACAAGGGAGAGATTAACATGCTAAGGATACTAATGATTTTGTCACTGAAGTTACTTTTGACACAACTTCTATAGATTCTTGCCTATTAGTTTATTTGAGACTATGAAAACCCTGAAGTAGCACACACAGTTTTTATGCCATTCAGGTGAAAATTTCATTTTTAATAGATATTTGTGTTACTAAATTTTTTTTGTATTTTTCTATAATATACATGTTGATTTGACTGAAGCATATATGTTGTTTTCAAGTCTTTTTTCTCTCTCTCCATATACCAAAAACCTAGAATAGAAAGATATATCATAAAGATTTGTACTTACTGTTGACTATGTTCGTGAATTGACATGGGGTGTATGGTTTTTTGGTTGTCTAAATCGTATGTATCAGTGCCTGTTGATATAATGCTCATTTCTTTATAATCATATATTTGCTACAGGTTAACCATCTGAAGGTTGTGACTAACTGCAAGTACTGGTTCATAAGTATTTGATTTTTCAGATGGTCAGGCGATCCCATGGATTCATATCCCAACACACCACAAACTATGTATGGTGGCATGGGTGGCCCTCCGTCCGTTAGTTCAAATCCATCTGACTGTGTCTCAACGTAAGTACAAACGTTATAGTTTTCTAAGGTAAAAGTCCTTCTGTGAAAGCTCTTTCAGAGGTTCAAATTATATCAATATTATATTTATATATATATATATATTTTTTTATGTTTCAATCAAGAAGTATGCAGTATTGAATTGCCAGTTATCAGATAGTGTGACAGCAGATGAGTTATATATTTTACTAATATTGTTTGAAAATCTATGCAATAAGTTGCAGGGAAACATCATACAGTGTAGTTTGTTTGTGATGTAATATTACACAACAGTTACTGAAGATGCTTTTACACATCATATGCTGCTATGTCACGACGGCTATAGTTGTCACCATCACCAAGGAGTTAATGTGACATGCACCATAACTGTTAATAAGCCATATATTATTTTGTAATTTGATGTTCTTGGGAATTTGGCCATGTCCAGAGTTGATCAGAAGTTAGAAATAGAAACATTTTTCATTTGTGTACTAGTTTGAGATATTATTATTAATATTGTTATTATTATTATTGTTATTATTATTA